TGCGTTTTGCTTCGAGTTTATACAACAGAGAAGCCGTCCACTCTTCTATTTTCCTAACCCGCACTATATCATCGTTAGCATCTGATGACATCCGTGCGGTTTAGTTTTAGAGTTCTGTTGGAACTGAACTGCAAATATAGAGAATAAGTGCCGCTATCTATTGCTAATATTTCAACCACAAACCCCACGCATTCCGGGACAGGTGGGTGGGAGGAGAGAGAGGGGGGGGGGTGATGAGCGGGGGTTTGGGGGGAGGGGCGGGTTAGGTAGGGGGATTGGGGGGGTTGGGGGAGGGGCGGGGGATTGGTGGGGGGAGCGGCGGGGGGTTGGCGTTGGGGTGGGGGCTGGGGGTGGGTGGGGGGTGGGAGGGAGGGGCTCGAGCGCGTGCCACTGGGGCCTTTTAGCGCACAGAGCACGTTACGGGGGGGGGGCAGGGAGGAGGGCAGGGGGGGGGCAGGGGGGGGCAGGGGGGGGGGCTCGGGGTGGGGGGGGCTCGGGGTGGGGGGGGGGGAGGTTGAGTGGGCAAGGCGTTGCTCTCTCGTAGTGAGTGGCCGTGCCCCCCTCCCTCCCTCCCACCCGTCCCAGCAGTTGCCTGTGGTGCCACAGGTCCGCGCCACGTGCAAGAACGCGCATTGAAACGACAAACCGGTGCTGGAACGCCGCTTGCCCTTCGCACGCAACGGTGCACCCCCCTCCCCCCCCCCGCGGTGTTCGACGCGAGCGGCGGGTTGGGTTTTGACGGCTTCTCTTTTGCGGAGTGCGAAGTGCCCCGCTGGGTTGACACGCGGGGGCCCCAACAGGGAAGCGCCGGTCGACGATTTATTGGCGAGGCTTCCCGCGCGGCTCGAACGCTCCGGTTGTGACTACCCGCTTGCGGATTTAACCGAACAACATTGCTGGGTCTTCTTGGTTCTTTCGGTAAAGTCACGTAGAAGGGAAGTAATAAAATAATAAAAATAAAACATAATAATATTTTATTTTATTATGTTTTATTTTTATTATTTCATTACTTCCCTTCTACGTGACTTTACCGAAAGAACCAAGAAGATGAATCCCTGCAGTCACGAAAGCTTTAAATCGAAATTTAACATTGCTGGGTGTTTAACAAGTGGAAGGAAATGGAAGTTGCCCAGAGTAAAAAACCCATATGGAGATTAGTCTACACTTGCTGCAATGCCCTTGTCCTGGCGAGCCAGTGTATGGCACCCTCCTAAAAATTCACGGGAAGGGACTTTCATGCAACATCAGTGTGCCGCAATCCACTAACCCTCGTTGCTGCTTCCACACAGTGCAGCCACGTGCATACCCACCACTGCCACTCGGCTGTTCTGTTGAAATGAAGGCTGAGTTTGTTTCATCGGAGATTATTGCCCGAGTGGTGTTCTGCTCTGTGGTCGTGAACACAACCTCGGACTGGCAAATAAACGTCTTACTCCCACGGTTTGGGAAGGCCTAGAATATCATGGAGCCAGCTGATGGTGAAATCCACGGTTTGGGAAGCCCTGGAATATCATGGAGCCGATGGTGAATTTCAAAATTGTATTTTATTTTTTTCAAATTTTCACACCTGATCTTGATTGCTTGTGTTGCAGTCGAAACGTCGTGAGCATTTTTATTGTTTCATATTAATATTATTTTATTATTTCCCTTCTACGTGACTTTACCGAAAGAACCAAGAATATATTAGCATGCTGTTGGGCCAATGAATGGGCAGCTCGAATGTGGGTGGAAACTGGAGCACCTGGAGAAAACCCACGTGATGCGACGGGGAAACGCTGCATCCCAAACAGATGGAACGGGTGGAGTACTGGGACCCCTCTGCTTACGGACGAGTTAGGTTCCAGAGGGTTACTCTTTGGTTCTTTCGGTAAAGTCACGTATAAAGAGAAAATAATAAATTAAATACTAGGATGCGACGTTTCGATTGCAACATAAACAATCATCATCAGGTACAACTGAGGGTTGTTCGTAAGTCGATTTGTTCATCAGTCCAACTTTACTTCCGTCGATTATGAACGTGTACGCTAAACACGGAGAAATGCTTTAAAAGTTATATAATCTCCTGTAGATGTAGATGCCACTCGCTCTTCACGTTCTGCAGATGTACACGCCATCTATTGCGCGGCCGTTGAACTTACGATTCTCGTCCGAACAGGCAACCGGGCATACGGACAGGTTTGTTCGTATCTCTGAAAGTTCGTAAGTTGAATGTTCGCAAGTAGAAGCGTCTCTGTACGTTTTTTTCCGTAGCCACCTTCTTCTGGTGCGCCAGGGTTATGTCACCTTTTTAAATCCTTTATATTAAGTTCGCTTGCTTGCGTGCTTGCCTGCTTGCTTGCTTGCTTACGACCGTGCAAACCTTTCAATCGTTTTTTAACCCACTTTCCGTGATCCAATCGAGCTGACATTTTGCACACAGACTCGTTGTGCGTGACAATTACACTGTTTAGGGAAAACAAATTAAATATTTAATTACCAATTGTTTAATACTGCAGACAATCATCTGACCCATAGGTGGCAGCCATCTCAAGCCAGAGGACGAGAGGACTCTAGCCGCCACGCATATAATGGATTTAGAATGAAAAACTTTGTTTTTACGGGTTATACTTATTGATGCCCACGAGGGAAGGGGAACTTCACACAGCATTTGTGCTGCGGTGTTCCAGCAAACCCTCGCTGATGCTGCCTCCCACACAGTGCTGGATTGCAGGCGGCCACGTGCATAGCCAACACCACCGCACGGCTTCTTCTGAAGGGATGACGTCTATGACGTCATCTTCCGGGGGCACTTTCTGAAAACAACGTGGTGCATTTCTAGCTTGTGAGCGTTGGAAGTGGAAATCTTTCTTGACTCCATTGACGTGATGCCGATTGGAATATACTTTGGAAAAAGAAGACTAAGAGAGAGAGAGAAAGAAAGAAACAATGATTGCTGTTGGACCGCTAATTGACGCAGACATGTGGCTTAACCTTCCCCGCTTGCCAGCGGATGAGCTCAGCGATGTCATCGCGTCTTAAGCCCCCGCTCGTGTTTCAGATTTCTGAGCCTCGCCTGAAGCCAGCGTCGACTTCTTTGCCTCGTCTTTCCCCGTCAACACAAAAAGCGAGGAATTCTCAGGATTGGAGCTTCAGGAAATTCTGGGGTGGGCAAAGCGGGACGTTTGGTGTGGTGCAGAATTGTTGTTTGGCTTTTCCACAGGGTGTATTCTATCATTGCGCACGCATGTACGCATGTACGTTGAACTTTTTCTCGCACCCGTACGTAGCCAACTGCGATAATTGGGCGTGCTGTGGGCCGGGGGAGGACAGCAAACTAAGCGTAAAGAGCAGTTGTAAAGAAATGAGTTTTCAATCGCGCGTCATGTGGTGACCGTCTCAGTTCGACGGGTGAGCCGAAAGCCGCTGCTGCAAGGATGACCGGAGTTTGCGTGATGGAGTGATGACTGGCTGAGTCTACCCGCCGAGACCAGGATGTGAACTCTGCCACTGAGACAGCTGGCCGGGGCAGTTATTGATAATTGGAAACTATTGCAGTCCCTACTCTTTGGTTCTTTCGGTAAAGTCACGTAGAAAGAGAAAGAGTAATTCCCGCCATCACGAAAGCTCCAAATCAAGTTTATTGCAGTCCCGTTGTGCTATTGTGTGTTGCTCAAGTTCTGTTTTTACTCCTTTATTGAAGTAACTTTGCAATATACACATTGACAACTGCGGTGGCTAGGAGATATTAACTACCTCCCCTGGTTTAAAGGAGGTCGTGGATTCGATCGCGACCCTGACGCTTGTTGCATATTTGCAGTTTGCATGTTCTCCCCATGATTGTGTGGTTTTGTCTCAGAATCCTACCGCTTTTTTCTCCTCCACATTTAGAAACGACATCGTTCGCTCAAGCGTATTTGGCTGCCATACATTTCCACACGTTGAGCTGTCATTTGTGATAGCCAGGTCGATTCTGAAAAATTAACCCGTAAAAACAAAATTTTTCACTATAAATCCTTTATATGCGTGGCATCGGTTTTATTTTATTATTAATTTCTGTTTTTCTTGAGTAAGAGTTTCATTTTTATCACATTGGTATTTAAAATTAAATGTGAATTTTTTTTTTCCTAAAAAGTGGAAAATTTTGGAAAAAAATTTTCACGAAAATAAATTGTCACGCACAACGAGTCTGTGTGCAAAATGTCAGCTCGATTGGATCACGGCAAGTGGGTTAAAAAACGACTGAAAGATTTGCACGGTCGTAAGCGCGCAAGCAAGCGAGCAAGTGAACTTAATATAAAGGATTTAAAAAGAGCTGTATGCTAGCTCAGTCGGCCTTATCTGCTAAAATAAAATAAAAACTGTTTCAGTTTGTACGTAGGAGTTCGCGACAGATAGAAGTCCTGTACTTCGACAGTCGGCTCCACAACGACGTTTTTGTGCGGCACCTCCGTAGTCGCCCACCACTGTGCCGGCATCTTTAGCTGTTGGCTGCGAGAGCGGCCAAATAATCCGCGGTGAACCTTGTCTTTGGCAGCATCATCAAAATGATGGACCCCAATAAAAAATTACAATAGGCTTTACCCCCTTTTGGGCAACAAAACAGGCGTAAAGATTTCGATTTAAAGCTTTCGTGACTGCAGGGATTCATCTTCTTGGTTCTTTCGGTAAAGTCACGTAGAAGTCTTTCCGACAGACCTGTTCTTCACCTGAGAACGGCTGATTGCGTTGTGGCCGAAACGTTGTGAGAATTATTTTATTATGTTTTATTATTATTTTATTATTTCCCTTTACCGAAAGAACCAAGAAGAGGCGTAAATATGTTCAAACGCCGAATACTGGATACCGTTTTTTTGTGCAAGGCATCAAGTCTGCATTAAGCAAACGTTACTCGTGGCAAAAACGCGCTCACTAAACGTGAGCTTGCAAACAAAGGCCGTCCCTGCCGGGGACTACGACCTGTTCGGGGTGGGGGAGGGGTTTCCCTCTCGCTGACGCGTGCTGTGCTCCCGTTCTTTCGCCAGGCCCAACATGTGCGCCGTGCAGGAGATGGAGGGCACGGAGAAGCGCTACTTCTCCTCCTGCAAGACCTGGTACCGCAAGAAGATCTGCAACGTGCCCACGTAAGTGGCTTCGGTGGCGCGACGCGGAGTGCGAACGTTACGGCGACACGTTAAATACAATGGCCCAACAATGGCCCAACAATGGCTCAACATTGGTCCAATATTGGCCAAACATTGGCCCAACATTGGCCCAACGTTGGCCCAACGTTGGCCCACCATTGACTCAACATTGGCCCAATGTGCCACGTTTACGGGTGTGTTCCCTCTTTGTAAATGCTTTTGATGATTGATGTCTTTTTTTCATTGAGATTTTTATCCAGTCTGGAGAGTGCAGCCTGGAAAGAGCACGACTTAGATATTGCCTGACTCATTGCTATGAGTAGAAAAATACACGGGGTTAAAAATACACATGTAACAGGAACAACCAATATATAATGAAGAAAGATTGAATTAACACATTTAAAAACTGAAAATCTTAACAATGATTCGCACCTCCGATTAGCACGGTCGGCTACATACGGTGCAAAACACTTCGCGCGGCGGTTAAAGAATAATGTTGCGTGTTAGTCAGAGGATAGATTGTAATATTCCACCGATTTATAGAATAATACTGACCTCAAGTTCAAGTTCATGTATTAGGTATAGCCCTGTGAGCCATTCGGCTTTTGAATCGGGTGCAACCGCAACAAACAAAAAACAAAAACATAAACAAAAAACATCTTGAAGTGAATATGTGACTAAGTGCAAACAGAAAATCCAAGAAAAGACAGCAAAATATTGCAGAAAAAAACACCGTACACCAACGCTGTGTGAAAAAATCCCAGTAGGATGCAAGTCAAACAACAACAACAACAACCACAAGACAACTTAGATTAAGGCCATCAGTCTAACTCTGTACTACAACAAACAAACATGGCGGGGATCTCCGCCGACTTTGCAAGAAACGAATGACTCCTAATGGGCTCTTACCTGGCTCCGTTGCAAACCCAGCTGATCGGCATTTACGCGGTCTGACATATTGTTTGCTCAGCCACAGAGCGACATAGACGGTAAAATAGACCATTGGAGGATTTTGGCACACACACCTGCACACACGCTATAAACTAAACTATTTTATTTTACCACTGAAGACCAACTGAACTAGAAAGCTCCAGGTAAATTTCGATTTAAAGCTTTCGAGACTGCAGGGATTCATCTTCTTGGTTCTTTCGGTAAAGTCACGTAGAAGGGAAGTAATAAAATAATAAAAATAAAACATAATAAAATAATTCTCGCGATGTTTCGGCCACAATGCAAGCAGCCGTCCTCAGGTCTTTCGGGGAGACAGACAGCGTTGTGGCCGAAACGTCGTGAGAATTATTTTATTATGTTTTATTTTTATTATTGTATTACTTCCCTTCTACGTGACTTTACCGAAAGAACCAAGACGATGAGCTCCAGGTAGGGCCCACTAAGCTGTATAGCTCAAATTCAGAAGCGACCTGACTATCACACATGATAGCCCAAAGAAGTGGCTTATCATCACGGGAAAATGTATAGTCGCTGCCAAATATTCAAAGGGCACGTTGACTTTAAATGTGGAGGGGAAAAAACGGAGAAAAATCCGCACGAATACGGGGAGAGAAACACGCACACTCCAAATATATAGCAGGCGTCAAGTTCAGGATTGAACCCTACGACCTAGTGTATCGAGGTAGTTAACATTTTCTAGCCACCGTGATGATAAGAGAGAGAGAGACACGCCAACTCCAAATATACAGCAGGCGTCAAGGTCGGTATCGAACACTACGACCTCCTGTATACCAGGCGAGGTAATTAACATCTCCTAGCCACCGTGATGATGATGAGAGAGAGACATGCAAACTCCAAATATACAGCAGGAGTCAAGTTCAGGATTGAACCCTACAACCTCGTGTATACCAGGCGAGGTAGTTAACATTTCCCAGCCACCGTGATGGCGAGATCCTCAATACATCCAGTGCTCCACTGCACCCATTTATGGCTCCAACTCACGACAGCTCGGCTAATTGGTTTCATTGTGATTGAAGTCAAACGGCGTTCCCTATCAATGGCGTATGACAAGTTCGTCGAGATGAAGTATTTGTTGAGTAAATTTTTCATGATGTGTCGATGGCCCAGTGATAACCGGTGATGAATTGTTTTGTGAAATCCCGCTTCGTCAAATCGATCGACGGCATTTGCGGCGGCTCCCTCGTTATTCGCTAGCGATATGTTTTCTGGGATGCTCGTGAATGGCAAGCTTCACGAATAATGATATTGGCCGACGAAAACTTGCGTCTCATCACTTTATCTCTCGTCACTTTATCTCTTGTCACTTTATCTCTCCTAACTTTATCTCTCGTCACTTTATCTCTCGTCACTTTATCTCTCATCACTTTATCTCTCATCACTTTATCTCTCATTACTTTATCTCTCATCACTTTATCTCTCACCACTTTATCTCTCAACACTTTATCTCTCATCGTGTTATCTCTCTCATCACTTTATCTCCCATAACTTTATCTCTCATCACTTTATTTCTCATCACTTTTTCTCTATTCACTTAATCTCACCACTCACGTTCTCTCTCTCGACACAGTCAGTCGTGCAGAGTTCCAGATGCGATTCGTGCGCAGCCAAAAATCGCGAATACATCAAGTTCGTGAATCGCGAGGCAACACCACATACACAGCCCAAGCGGCATAGAGCTGTAATAAGACTCTTTGAGACGACTTCTGGAATCCGTCTTTTATTCACTTTGGGTTACATCTACTTTACGCTGCTGGTAGACAACGTGAAGGGACAGATAGACCGAGAGAGACGCACTGCCACGTGGCAACTCGGAGCCCCGCTCTCGTGTGGCTCCTTCTTCCGTTGGTTCCCGTTCTGACCACGTGTCGTTCCTCTCCACCCCTATTTAATCTCCGGGTCACGTGGTACGCTTCAGCCAACCCTCGTTAGCCTGCGTCGAATCTTCCAGGCTCCCTCGTCAGCTCCCGGGACCACGCCCCTGACTCATCTCCCCATTTGCTATGGCCAAAGCCGGCAGAACCAATCTCCATAGCTGTCACCTTCCCATCACGTCAGGGCCATGCCCCCTGACTCATCTCCCCATTGGCTGAGGCCAAAGCCAGCAGAACCAATCTCCATAGCTGTCACCTCTCCATCACGTGAGGGCCATGCCCCCAGGCTTCCCTCCATTGGCTGTAGACCAGGACCGGTAGAGCCAATCACCATGACAAGGTGTGATACATCAGTGAACCGGATATTTTCTCATATTACAGAGCGGTGGATGGCATGCGTCCTCGTTGTGCAATGGACGGCATTGGCGATGGCACCGCTGCCGGCAGAAGTCAGCCCACGCTGTCGCCACGAATAGACTGTTGGGTCAAGTGCTGTTCACGAGCGCCTATAACGGCCAGCATGGCACACAAGGGGGTGGGTGGTGAGCACCGTCTTTGTCTCCCCGAAGCTGGTGTTTGCGCACTCACCATGTACCCATTTACGTTTTCCCTCGCTTTTCGTAGTCTGCCCCGAACGGGCCATGTATATACGTACGTATGTATGTTGAACTTCTTTTGCAACATACCTAGCCAACCGCGCCAATTGGAGGTGCCCTGGTGCGGTTGCACCCAATGGCGGAGCCAGGATTTTCAGGTAGGAGGGGCAACCCATCCAGCAGTGAAAAATGATAGAGGAGTTGTTAGTAAGTAAGGACTTGTCCCTTGCTTTTTAATTCGACGCGTGTGCGGTGATGGTGCAGCCGTCGATCGAGGGTCGAATTCGAACCGCGTTGTGTGATCGGCATCGCGCTCGCTGAAGGTGTTGATGCCTTCAGGGATGTCGTGTGCTGTGTACACAACTGCGCACAATTCTGTGAGTCACTTATAACTGCTTTGCCGTTACTTATTGCCAATTATGGACTCAGACTATTGTCCAATCATCTCATAGAGTCCCTGGCACGTAATAGTATGCTACACGGTGGCAGTGGGTGTCGCAAAATGCCGATTCATTACTAATAAACCCCAATGATCCGATCGAAATGAGGGATTTCGAACGAATCATTGGGGGGGGGGCACGTGCCACCCCACCCCCCACTGGCTCCACCAGTGGTTGCATCGCCTGCACACGCGATAATTACTACCTCATATTCTTAGGTTTTTTTCGGTAAAGTCACATAGGTGTAAAAAATAAAAATTAATAAAAGTAAATAAAAATAAAATAAAAATCACGACGTTTCGGAGGCAACACAAGCTTCCGTCCTCAATTTCCGTCTTCACCTGAAGACGGAAGCTTGTGTTGCCTCCGAAACGTCGTGATTTTTATTTTATTTTTATTTTACTTTCATTAATTTTCATTTTATTTTTTTACCTAAGTGACTTTACCGAAAAAACCTAAGAATATTAATCCTTGCAGTCACGAAAGCTTCAAATCTAGAATTACTACCTCGCCAGGTATACAAGAGGTCGTGGCTTCGATCCCGATTCTGACGCCTGCATAATTCGAGTTTGCATGTCTCTCTCCCCGTGGTTTTGTGGATTTTGCCCCTGGTCCTTTGGTTTCCCCCTCCACATTTAGAATGAACATCATGCATTGTAGAGTATTTGACCTGGTGGTCTGGTCAGAGATGCTAACCACATGCAAGTGGATTGCATGTGGTTAGCAATCCACTTGGTCTGTTTTTAAATCCTTTATATTAAGTTCGCTTGCTTGCTTGCGTGCTTGCTTACGACCGTGCAAATCTTTCGGTCGTTTTTTAACCCACTTCCCGTGATCCAATCGAGCTGACATTTTGCACACAGACTCGTTGTACGTGACAATTTATTTTCGTGAAAATTTTATTCCAAAATTTGACACTGTTTAGTGAATTTTTTTTAAATATGTAATTACCAATTGCTTAATTGTGGCAGACAATCATCTGACCCATAGGTGGCAGCCATCTCAAGCCAGAGGACGAGAGGACTGTAGTCGCCCGTTTCACGATGACGCAAATGTTGACTAACCACATGGCATGAAATCCCTGCCCCCATGCTGTACAGTGGAGACTATTTATAGAGCAG